GTGATATACCTGTAGACATTTCCATAACGACAAGTTACAGTGGCTCCGCCTACAATTATCTTTGCATATTACTATTAGATTAAAGCATTTTAAAATTTGTATGAAATATTTATAATGCGTATAAAATAATTATAATACATGTAAAATATGTAATATATTTGTTTTCTGGTACTGTCAAGCTATGTGAAACCAGTTTACAGGTGATATCACTTATACGGTACATATATAATTAAATTTGAATTGTAACGTTCCAAAAAATGCTAGGATATAGCTAACAAGGCATTTGTCGACGATACTTACAACATTTAGTTCATGATAATGACCCAGACGACCAAAAGTACTCGAAGAACAAAAACAAGATTTGGGGTCAGTTTATTATTAATAGTAAGTTTCGGCCAGATATGCAGCAACATATTCGAAAATTAGGAAAATACGATAAAATTTAAACTGACATTGTCGGATAAATAAGTTTTGTTAAAACGAATTCTCGCTGCCGAAGCACACCCACACGCACACATACACACACACACATATATATATATATATATATATATATATATATATATATAAAAGAAGTAATGGGTTGTTTATTTATTAATACGACAGCTTTTATCACTTAAACCTTATTTTGAGTGGATACTCATATTTGAGTAGACTTGCGTGTTATCTATTAAACAGTATATTTGTTAATTTTCGTCTACCGGCTTGACTATTCGAGTAATCTTTCTAAAGAAAAATATGCACCCACCAGTAGGATTCGAACCTGCATACCCATGGGTATGTTAGATTCGACGTGCATAGACCAACTCAGCCACGAAGAACTTTTGCCGAACATTTAGTGAGAGAGAGAGAGAGAGAAAGAGAGAAAGTTCAGCCTTTTCTCTGTCCATTACCTTTGCTTTCCGCTGTACAACATAAGGAGAAATGGGTGAAATCATTCCCGTCATAGGTTCTTGAAATTTCATGTCTGTTTAGTTTCTTCTAAAGAAGTAATGGAGTTGCTATTGATTAATACGGCAAATTTTTATCATTTTAAACGTTAATTTTAGTGGATAGTTATATTTGAGTAGACACCCCATTTATATTTATTTTCGTCTACCGACCTGAATATTCGAGAAATCTTATTAAAGAAAAATATGCGCTCTCCGGCAATAAATATACTTTTTAATAAATAATATGTGATAATATATATATATATATATATATATATATATATATATATATATATAATGAAAATATTCGTTTTAATAAATTTGTTAGTCATACCCATGTAGATTAATATCTCTGTAGCTAGTTCTGCCCGCGTCTGCTTCATACATCTTATTTATTTTCATTAAAATACGGTTAAATTATTTAATGTTTTTTCTGTAAACAATTCTTACATGCCTACAAACTGAAAACAGTCGAGTAAACTTGAAATACACTTCTAAGGTTTCCCTAATATTATCTATAAATCGTGCTAGGAATTTTTGCATCAGCCTACAATATCAACCTTTATAACTTATTTTTAGATCAAGAATGAAATGAGTGGCTTCTTCTTTCTGGGTTGTCAGCGTGCATTGAATAGGTTCTTATCAGACGGGTTTGGCCAAGCCTACAAACTTCTAAAACCCTGTGGAATTCCGGTTGTGCTGTTGAGCCTGCTTTTTTGCCTCAAGTCATTAACTTTGCAGTGGGTGACGTGTCCCGTGCACCCTCCTCTACACGCTCTCCTTTTCAATAAGACCAACACCCTTCACACCCAGACTCGAAAATAGCTGCCATTAGATAAAAAGACGCTGATTTATTTTTCACTTTTTAAATAAGAAAAATAAAAAAGAAACAATTGACGCCCAATATAAAATTCCGTCACCTGATCGGCTTCCATTCGCCTGAAGCCGCGCGAAATTCCACCTTGCTGTCAAACGAAGGAAAAGAAGCTTTTAATTAACGTGTAATAAAAATAATGGGTCATTGTTTTCACTGGGCAGGTATTTTAAAATAGTGGATAAGCTTTTCGTTAATATACATATATATTCAGACTGACGTCCACACCTTGGTCGTTATAGTCACAGTGGTATGACATTTGTACTTCCAGTCTTTTCATAGAGCATGTTTTTAAAATTGAACCCTTTTTTTTAATCGCTGAGAGACTTCTCATTCCACTCTGCATACAAAGGGGGATAACTGGTATTCTTCTTTGTGCCGTGTCCCTTCGGAGCATGGGGCGATCACAGCTTCTCACAACTTAGTAATGTATGTGATTTTTCGCTTCCTCCTAATCCTTGTTCTTCCGACTCAAATTAATCAAATTCACTAAGCCCGCTTTACTTATTATGTGCCCTAAAAATTTAAATGGCCTCTTTCTGATTCTAACTGGTATTAGCTAATTTTTATTAGAATCATCTATTATCCCAATCTTATTTTATGTGCCTCGTCCCTTAAGGATATGGATTATCATAACTCTCCACAACTTCTATCTCGCTTTAAGTAATGCTTGTATCCTTACTCTCCCTCCCAGTACTTGCTTTGTCATCCATTTACACAATCTCATTATTCGTAGCTTTCTTCTGTCCCTCTTACCTTCAATATGTCCTATGTTGTAGCATACCTAAGGAAAATAGTGGGTGTTTCTCCATTCACATAAATACAATAGTAAATACTGTATGTTGGTCTGCAATTGAAGAGTTGTCTCCAGCTTTGCTGGTGAAACTCTCTACCTCTGGGTAGAGAGGATACCCAGATGAGACTAGGTATAAGGGCAGAGTCTTGTCTCGGGAAACAGCTACTCGACCCCTTTTTATACGGGGTCTAGGGGGAATTCTACGGGCAATAATGAGTGTTTCTCCTTTCACATAAATACAGTAGTAAATACTGTATGTTGGTCTGCAATTAAAGAGTTGTCTCCAGCTGTGCTGGTGAAACTCTCTACCTCTGGACAGAGAGGATCCCCATACGAGGCTATGTCGAAGGGCAGAATCTTGTCTTGGGAAACAGCTACTCGGCCCCTTTTTATACGGGGTCTAGCGGGAATTCTACGGGATCGGATACCCCACATTAAATTCGGTCTTGTGCCACATCTGACCGCGTGGGGTGGTTGGTAGATATCCTGCAGTTGGAGATTCATTATGAAATTCATTTGACTCACTTCTAGCAGTTGACTACTTCTACGCGCCGCTGGCGAATCTTATTGTTCATTACCAACCTTCGGTTGGTTATTCTATTCAGTAACCTTCCCCAGGTCACAACATCCTGTGAGCATCAAATTCTCTGAACTCTCTTTCCTCATTATTTTTTTTCCAGAAATGTCATCTGTCTCTTTGTCATTCTAAGTACAAATGTCTTTTTTGTTCCTATTTTCCTTAAAATTTACTACACATGTTCCGTACAACTCTACTAAAATCTATTAAAAGGGAAGATATTCAAGGCTGATCCCTGTTGCTTGAGGTATCCTAGAAGAGAAATAACGGCAGAGCTGAGCGATTTTCTCCCTTGTTCCATGTGAGCGTGTAGCTTCAAATTTAAACACACCTATGTACTGTATTTCGTTCATGTGGGCGTGCAAATAGCCTCGGCGAATTCAGCTTTGTGATGTTGCTTTTATTTCTTTCACTGAACGTAAAGATATAGATTTCATTAGCACTCACGACGGCCATGTTAACTGCATACACGTGACCAACGCTTATTACCACGAGACTATTTTCTAACGTTTGTCTAATGTTGTGTGAGTTTAATCTTGGGTCAGGCAATGAAATTCATCCGCTCAAGTTCAGGGTCTTCTTCTCCTTTGTGACATATCACTTCAGGACGTACATGGGCATAGTTCTCCACAACTTCCTCTCTTTTCTTGCTCTAAGTAACTTTTAACTCATTACCATCTAAATTTGTTTTGCTATCTCTTCCCTTCTTTTATATACCATGTCCTTTCAAGACGCGGACAATCATGGCTCTCCACAAATTCCTGTCTTTTATAAGTAACTATTTACAATCCGTCTTTGTTATGTCATCCATTCACTTCTTTTATATGCCAAGTCCTTTCATGACGTAGGCGATCATGGCTTTCCACAACTTCCTTTCTTTTGTTTCTCTAAGTAACTTGTGACCCTTTAGCATCCATCTTTGTCTCTGTTTTGCCACACATTCATACAAACTCGTCAAGTAGGTTGCTCGCTTTTTCTCCCTGCTGCTTCTCATGTCTTCAATATATCTTGTGAGTGTTAAGTTTTCTAATCTATCTTTCCTCATAATGTTTTCCAAAAATGTCAACTGTCTCTTTCAGATTATAAGTGTCTCTTTAGTTCCTATGAGCCTCAAACCGTTGTCAGCATCTTCTATTCTCAATGTTGCACTGTAAAGAGATTGTTAAGCATTCACTTACATATAGAAGACTCGATACTACATAGCAGTTCTACGCTTTTTTCTTTGTTACTAACTTAGCTTAATTTCTGGAAAGTATCATTTGCTATTACGAAGCGTCCCCCAGTTTTCTGTGTCACATTTTCTGTCGTCTGTTATTACACTAGCCCGATAGCGGAAGTTCTCTACCTGTTTGATTTTGAAGTCTCCAATATATAGCTCAAACACTGGGTTGTCTATTTTGCTGAAGACTGTGTATTCTGTCTCGTTACTGTTAATACTTAGTCCTTTCTTCTTGTCTTCCTTTACTATCTTATCTAATCTTACTTTACTATCTTGGGATTATCTTATCTAGACTTCCTTTACTATCTTATCTTATTTCTATTTTCCTCTGAGTCTTCCATCAACATAGTGTTATCCGCATATTTTATGTTGTTAAGAATATGCACGCTAATAATGAATCATGGTAAATCTAATTCTTTTAGGATCCTTTACTAGGTTATGAAGAAAAGAATTTGAAAATAGATTATGTGCACTAGGGATAGTTTGGTCCAACACCCCAAGTTACTATAAAACCAAAAACACTAACCTAAGAACCAGAGTCATGTTGTTAAATGGCCGAGTCAGATTGAGACTTTCAGAAAATCTAAACCCGCACATCCAAGCTTACAGCACCTGGTATTCTCGAGCGGTCACCCATCTCAGTACAGACTAGTGTCGACGATGCTTAACTTCGGTGATCGTTGTAGAACCAGTGTTTCAACGTGATGTGGCCATAAGCCCTAAATTTTAAAGTCTTAATTTCAAAGACATTATTGGTATGATACATATTTCTCCCAACATAAAACTAACCGTTTTAATTAACTTTCTCTCGACCTCTCTCTCACTCACTCTCTCTCTCTCTCACTATACATACATACACACACACACACACACACACACACATATATATATATATATATATATATATATATATATATATATATATATAACTGTAACCTCAGAAAAAAACTATATGAGCATCGCAGAGATGTGCTGAATAACAACACTATAACAAGGGAACTTTCCGGTCTCTGGTCACCAGATCTGATAAGGTAATTTAATTTATTGTCTCTTTTATTGTAAGAAATTCCAACGTATTTTCCTTACACACAATTTCGTCCTTCATTCCGACCTGATGAAGCCGAACCCAACAAACGTTTCGTCGGCGAAATACGTCGTTTAGAGGCTTTTCCATTTTGTTGCATCATCTCCACTATATATATATATATATATATATATATATATATATATATATATATATATATATGTGTGTGTGTGTGTGTGTGTGTATGTGTGTGTGTGTGTGTGTGTATTGAACAATAAAAAATATTAAAAAATTAAAATCTTCGGACACACTGGGTTGCATATTAATATTCCTTCGTTTTTAATATTTCATTTAGATTCCTCGACTAGTTTCGGCCAACATGGCCATCATCAGGAGAAAATAATTTTCTGCCTCCTGGTAGCAGTGAACTACAGAAATGAATGTCTTGATGGAGAAAATGAACTTTTGTCTGTAGTTTTCATTTGTTTTGTTTTTTTGTTTTTTTTAACATGAATTTTGGTCAGTCGTTGTGTCGGTCAAACAGTCTCTTTTAAGTTGTTATTTAAGATAAGAGCTGGAAGGATTCATGTTGCTCTGAATTCCCTTAGTCATTTTGACAGTTTTATTGGTTCCTGGAAAGGGGATGTGTCTCTGTTAAGTGTGTAAGTGTTATTTGGTTCTTAGGGAGTGAGTGAGTGTGAGGCCTTAACAGCTCCGTAAGCACGTCTGTCTTGTGTGGGTGAGAAATGTGGGTAGGTTTTGGTTTGTAGGGTTATATATTAATACTATCTATATTGTTCAATTTATGGTTTAGCCCGGCTGGATAGTCCGTTTTTAAACGTTGTATCCACTTATTTTCATGGAACTCTAAAATCTTTCTAATGTTATCTGCTCTGGACTTTTCTATTCTCTCAATTATAGTGAATTTGGCATGGGTTTTAAAATCGTGTTTTTCTAGGCGATAATTATTAATTCTGTAGTGAAAGGGCCATTCAGTTTTTCCTACATATTGTTTCTGGCATAGTGTGCATTCTACGAGGTAAATTGTGTTATGACTTCTACAGTTAGAGTCGTGGTAGATTTTGAAAGTAGATTTAGTGACTGAGCTAGTGAATGAATTCGTGTGTTTAATGTGGTTGCAGCATAAGCTTCTTTTGTTGTTACATGGTTGGAAAAATCATGCTGTTTTTTCTGTTGGTTTATTACGGATCACCTTGTCCCCTGAAATGTGGTTACTACCTGTTATGGTCCGGTTCCTTGTACCACGGTGATAGTCTAAGGTAAAACCAATAAAGAAGAACTCGAACACGGATATTGAATAACACAGATATATTACAAACAGGAATATATACAGAGAAGTAGAAAGTGTTAGTACGAACAATCAGGTTTAGTAGTAATTGTCTGAACGCGACTCTGTTTCGGACTGCCTCTGACTCGACTGACTGACTTGCTCGCTCTGACTGACAGACAGACTCCTGACGGACTTCACTCCAGACTGAACAGTATTTAGTCCCCCCCCCACGAGGGCATCATGTGGCACAAGGCCGGTTTAACGTGAGATCTCCGAGCCCGTATGCTCGGCCAAAAATATGCCCTTCGAACATATTTTTTTATATAAACGGGTTCAGGGTCGGTTTACCTCCCCGAAAGAGACTCCGTCCTTCGGCGTAGCGTCCTTCGGGTTCCTCCCCGCCCGAAGGCAGAGAGTTCAACCGATCGGCCGGTCAGCCGGTCGTCCGACTTCAGACTGAACAGTATTTAGTCACCCCCCCCCCCCAATGAGGGCATCATGTCGCATAAGGCCGGTTTAACGTGGGATCTCCGAGCCCGTGGGCTCGGCCAAAAATATGACTTTAAATTTGTTATTATATGCGTAGTGAGGAGATGCTCAATATCGTGGGTAATTTATAGCAGTAAAGAGTGTGAACATAAGAATCAACACTGCATGTTGAGTGTCGGTTCCACACCTCAGTGCAATCTTCAGTGGATTTGATATACAGTGCTACCGGAGTAATAGCGCGCGATCTGAAGATAGCTTTGAGACGTGAAACTCATCTGGCACTATTGATTCGTGTGTCAACATAATATATATATATATATATATATATATATATATATATATATATATATATATATATTGTCACGTCTATGTAGAAAGAATGAAAATATACTGTTACGCTGTTGTATCCATAAAAATAAATAAAAATTATAGTGTCAAAAATAATAATAATTAAATAATTATAACAGTTATAATTATCATTAATTCACTCATACTAAAACAATAAGAATCGACCCTCTTTTCTCCTCTACACACACAAATACGTGACATTCTCACTATCAGACAAGAAGTTCACACGGACAGGTCGTCAATAGGTACGTCAACGAAAACTTCGTCTCCTTTTCTTTTTTTAAAGTCATAGCTGTAACATTTATCTTTTAGCACACAACAAAAATTCGAGGTAAGAAAACCCAAGACACTTTTTGTATTTTCTAACTAAATTGTCTGGACACTTATTATATAAAAAGAATTTATGCACATCAGTTAGTCTTTATCTTATCAGTCTCTTGGATTGACCTCAAACTCACAATTTTACTCAGCATTACCGTCTCTCGTTTCTACAACACCACATATCAACCTCATTATAAATAATACACGTTTTGCTGTTTCCACATCTTGCTGTTTCTCATTTTTAGCAGTATTTTCATATATATAAATGATAGGGGGTTTATAATCATTTACTCAGAGTTATAACAGCTCTCGAAGTGGTGACAACCTGATGTTAAATGCAAAATGTCATTCTGAAATAACATTAACAACTTTACAATGGAGACTACAGAGAACTGATAAAAAATTTATATTTTGCTTTGTGAACTTACTACAGCCAAAAGTAAATATGGCTACTTATACTTGTACCTACCATTATCAACCCCCTGGAAATCTGACCTCCTTACACCCTCTTTTTTCCTTCGATACCACTGACTAGCATACCTGTTGTGGATTCCGGGAATGGAATCCTGCACAAATAAATAAACAACGCCAGTAATTGAGATAGAAAAATATGTGTATTAATGTAAGAATACAGACTTGAAGTGAAGATTAGTAGACAAGGAATGCAGGTTAGTAGAAAGCATATGTACAAGTCTCTGTAAGTAAAGCCATAATCTCTCTCTCTCTCTCTCTCTCTCTCTCTCTCTCTCTCTGAGAACACCCTCTGTCTGTCTCCGTATCTATCAACCTCTCAACGTATCTCAACATATCTCCACGTATCTCAACGCATCTCAACAGCAGGTATTCTCTCTGTCAGTATAAGTATACTTTGGACGAGTCCATCTTATGTAAAAAGGGGACAGCCCCACAGCAATACCAATGATAGATATTGGTATTGAAATCCAACAGGCGTTTTACTACTACCCGGACACCATTCATTCTCCTTAGCCCTTTATTTCACCATCTTTAGACAATGTGCCATATCCATACCACGTGAAACAAACTTTTCACATTTACAAAAGAAAATTAACAACACTAAATTGGAAAAAAACGCAAATCCCACTGAAGTCTCGTTAACGGCTTTAAATTTACCTGCTTATAACCGAAACAACATAAAACCGGGGTTTATACAAATGCAGACGATTTTTAACACTAAAAAAGATCACGTTATTTCTATCTCGTGGAGAAACTGCCAGCAGAAATAGTCGGGGAGGTTACGGGCTTACTAGAAACCATGTCCGAAGAAAACCCTTACGACATGTTGAAAAAGCGTCATAATTAAATGAATCGGCAAGTCCAATGAAACGATGCTGCGTGACTTGTTCAACAATGTGGAACTTGGCAGCCGAACTCCTTCCCAATTATTTAGACATATGAAGGATCTTCTAGGATCTAACGTCATAGCAGAACATATTCTTCGCAGGTTATGGCTAGACAAACCGTTTAATACAATGACGCAAATATTAGTGTCTATGACCGAAGACACTGAGCTTGACAAACTGTCAGTCCGCAGATAGCATTCATGTAGGTCTAAAAGGCAGAGATATAAACGCCTTACACACACTCACGTGACCTACAAACGACCAGTTCGAAAATTACAAGTCACATTTGCATGTTTAGCTCAACAAATGCTGTCCCTTTTGAGTATACAGCAAGAGACCAGACCTAATGCAGTCCCTTTTGAGTATACAGCCAAACATACCTATTACAGACGAAGGAACTCCAATAAGATAGTAAAACACAAATATGGGGTATGCTACAGCCACTATAAACTTGATGCATAAGCAAGATGATGCCTGAAATTTTATGCTTTTAAGGACAATAATACACAGGAAAACTTCAATTCCAGCCTGTCGTGATGAAAATTGTTACTGGACTTTCACAGAAAGGTCGTCTGTTCTATATTCGGGATAGGAATCACGGATATAATTTTTTAATAGACACCGGGGCAGAAATATGTGTTTTGCCACCAAAACAAATACTAAAACCAGGACCATACAAACTGCAAGCGGCTAACGGTACTAACATTGACACCTTTTTTTAAAGACTGTGACCATCAACTTATATATGAGGTCAGATTTTTTATGGGTGTTCCCGCGAGAAAATATTACAAAACCCATACTAGGTGCAGATTTCTTAGCTAACTTTAACTTATCAGTCAACATGGCTACTCAATCTCTTGTTGAAATTTGACTGAACTTTTA